GATAATGCAGCTTTATTTACCGGATTTATTATGCATTTTCTCTGAAATAAAGCTGCATTATCGGATAATGCTCTGTTCAAAAATCCACCCATATGCTCTAGATTTAACATTAATCTATGTTAAGGTTATGGTTCACAGTCCGCTACTTCAAGTTCAGCGTCGGGGGGCACGTGCCACCCCCTCCCATTTTTTTTTCAAGAAAAGAAGCAAATTAGAAGGGAAATGCTCATTAAATGCATAAATGCCCCTGTGTTCTCATGCTCTCCGCCCTACACTTTCCATCCACGTTACGCTTATGGTCAAGTTTGTGTGAACAGTGTTGTGATTTTATCGATTATCTAGAACAGTGATTCACAACCTGCGGGCCGCGAAGACCTTTTTTTGCAGCCCCTTCGATGCCTCCGGTCTCTAAAGATCCATATTTATGCGGCCTATTTCGGCTCATGTTCGAGGGTCGCGGCCCGCAAACCCCTCGAACATGAGCCGAAATCTCGATTTGGCCCTCTAGGGGGAAAAGGTTGTGCACCATTGATCTAGAACTACTTTCACGAGATATTGTAAGAACAGTGACAAGTTTTCGGGATCCATAATATTAAGAAATTGTCAATAAAAATGTGAACATATAGGTAAACAAACCAATTACGACACAGTATAAAAATATGCCAAATTTCTTCATCCTGTCTGTGGATATGTCGTGACTATGGACGTAATTATGTTATTGTTGCAGGGCAAAGTGACTGTGAGGGGATCGGTGGGCAGTGCCTCAATTGGCAGAATTATTTATGTACGGCTGGATACGAGACGGGGTTGTGCCCTGGGGATTCCAATGTCAGATGCTGCCTCCCCTGCAACCAGGCCTGTGAGTTTACTCTACATCGTCCACATAAATCGTCGTGTCTTTTAGCTGTCACCCTACCAGTTGGATTGCAGAGAAGAGGAAGAGTCCGGCATAACGGTCTAACAACATACGTAATATGAATGTATCTGACGGTAAAATGTAAGAACTTTTTTCTTCACGTCTACTTCCGTCTCCGACTAGACAACTTTATCAGATGTAGAGGTGCATCCTCTTCCATGTTCAACTCAATTCGATCCTCTAGCTGTCATGGGTGAAAAGAAGAGAAGTGTTTTTTTTTTCTGTGCCTTCATTGCTTGAACTTCATAATGGTTGCCAGAAATTAGCGCGGACAAAGAGTTTCATTATTCGATTCACTTAACCCTTTCAATCCTGAATTATGTTCCATGCATGGAAAAAAGTGACATTTACTTGTTGGGCTTACGTAACATTTAAAATGGTTTCCTCACGTAAAATTAAATATTTTAATTATTTAAAGAAATTAAATCCATCCATCCATTTTCTTGTCCCACTGTCCGTTAGGGTCGTGGGGGCAGACGCTCTAAGGCGGACTTCCACTGGGGACGATCTTCCGCCACCAGGCGTAGTTGTTGGGTGGGTAGATCCAAGCGTGAAGATCCGAGGTTTTCTATGTAGTCTAGCCACTTAGTCCTCGGTCGTCCCACTGGTCTCTTCCCACCAGGCTTGCCAAACAGAAGCTGTCTGGGAATCCTTTCCTGTGGCATCCGGATTAGGTGCCCGTACCAACGCAACTGCGATCTCTCGATCCAGAGAAGTAGCGGCTCGACATGTAGAGATCCCCTTATGGTTGTGCTACGAACTCTGTCGAGTAGCGTGACACCTTCAACACCCCTCAGGAATCTCATCTCTGCAGCTTGTACTCGCGATCGCACTCTTTCGGTCATTACCCAAGATTCATGACCATAGGTAAGGATGGGGACGTAGACTGACTTGAAGACAGAGAGCTTCGCCTTCTTCCCAAGCTCTCGCTTCATCACCACAGACCGCCACAGTTCGCGCCTCACGGCACTAGCTGCAGCAATCCGGGTGTCCAGCTCTACATCTTGCCTTCCATCACTCGTGAATGCGACCCCGAGGTACTTAAACTTCTCCACCTGCTTCAGTGGGACTCCACTAACATGCAGAATGCACTGAGCAGGCTGTCTTGAGAGCAGTAATACCTCAGTTTTGGCCACGCTAATCCTCATCCCAGCCACTTCGCACATGGCTGCAAACCTATCGAGTGCGCGCTGGAGGNAACATCCAGCACAGAGGGAAAAAGGTCTGCTGACACGATAAAGAAATCGATCAGGGACCTTTGTCCCAAAGCATCCCTGTACCAGGTGTACTTATGGACATCCTTGTGCTGAAAGAAGGTGTTCATGATGAATAATCCGTTGCTGCAACTGAGATCCAACAGTCGCCTTCCGTTCGCATTGAGATCGGAGTCGCCGGTCCTCCCAATCACACCCTTCCACGTCGAAGAGTCAGTCCCAACATGTGCATTGAAGTCCCCCATCAGGATAATGGAATCCATGTTAGCTACTCTTTGGAGAGCAGCGTCCACTTCATCCAGAAAGGGTTGGTACTCTGCCTCAGCATTTGGCGCATAGACCATCAACAAAGCCAGAGTCCGCTCTTTTAGTCGGAGCCTCAAGAGACAAACCCTCCCTCCCAATGGGTTCCAGTCAATAACGCAATCTGCCAGCCGGGGGCTTGTGAGTATCCCCACTCCCGCCTGAGCAGTCATGTTTGGGTCCACTCCTGAGTAAAAAAGTTTCCATCCTCCATCCAGATCCACAATTCCAGAGCCTCTCCTCTTGGTTGACGAGACCCCGATTATATCTAGTCGGTAGCGCTTGGCCTCCCCCACCAACTCCTGCTCCTTCCCTGTGATCGAAAAGACATTCCAATTGCCGATTGTCATTGTCCGGTGCCGTTGTTATCCAGTGTCGGTCCTCCTAGAGTATAAACTCTTTGCGCTGCCCCCAACCGTTTCCCCAAGCGCGTAGCGGGCGCACTGGTGGAAAGAACTAAATAGCATGAAAATCATGCTATTTAATTAGTTCAGCCGGTACTCATATCCCTATTTTATGTCGTAGGTTTCCCAGTATTTCTGTATTGCTTTTCATTATCTAGCTTGCAATAACAGAAAAAATTGGCTGGGAAAGAATTGTCTTAGCTGAAAAAGATATAAACCTGTTGTATTTTCATTGACACTTCAAAAATGGTGTCATCGTGTATATCACTGTGGACTGCTGTCATCTTGCCAACATGCGATGAACTACTATAAACAAGGACTCGGGATCCCGCCATGGCCTCAAGATCGTGTATACTTATGTAGCCCTATAGCATATGCGAAGAAAATGAGGAACTCCTGAGTCGCGCCAGGACTGAAAGGGTTAAGCATATTTGAGCCAGAATTATGGGAAGCAATGAAAAGGAAGGTGAAGAACACATCCGTGACATCCGCACGCAGAGGACTAGATGAAACGGAAGAGATTCACGCATTCGGAATCTTGCTTTGTGTCGCCGCACTTTTCCCTGGGCCTGGGGACGAGGTAAACGACTGTATTCGTGGACATCAGGAGACCACTCTAGCTTAGGAAGAACCCGATCCATTATCGTCTTCGCCCTAAGAAAGCTGGATGGGAGCGAGACTGGACTTGACCTCCACGGAAGATCGCGAAGACGTTCGGTGACGATGGACCGCTCGCTTCTCTGCTGCGAATTTGACCCGGTGCACTCCACCGAGTTCCAACGAGTCTTGGCTACTCGATCTTCTGAACTGATATGCAATCGCAAAGATGACAGACCGAACTCGGAACTAGAACGCGACAGAATGCAGAGAGAGAATAGACGACGAAGGATGGGGGGGGGGGGGGGGGGGGGGACTCGCCCGGTAATGTCTTTTCGATCACAGGGAAGGAGCAGGAGTTGGTGGGGGGGGGGGGGGGGAGGCGACTTGCCCGGAGAGAACGTCCCGAAGTCGTAAACACGAAGAGATCCTCAAGAAGACAGTGGTCGGCCCCCAAGGCCGAGAAAGTCCAAGGCGAGCGTTAAATACGACAAGTACCCGTTTTTCTCTCGGGAGAAATGGAAAGCTCGCAGAACCCATTTCTGCATACAAAGCGAATTCGTACTAGTTTAGATAGAGCCATGAAGGACTTATAGCATTTCCTAGAAGCTGACCTCATCGCATTTATATTTATAGGGTAAGTGATACGAAGTCCGACCCCCTTAAGCTTAAAATCCACCCCCTCACCTACACGTTGAAGTTCAAGGTTTTGGGACCTATGCCAATCGAGAGGAAAATGCACACACCGTCCATTCGCGTTTCGATCGGACTCCGATGTAATTTGGAAAAGGCCGTTTGGATATCTCATTGCGTTGAATCATGTAACGTGGGGTTCGTACTTGGCCCCACCTATCCGAGGGATTTTTGAACAGAGCACTATCCGATAATGCAGCTTTATTTCAGAGAAAATGCATTATAAATCCGGTAAATAAAGCTGCATTATCGGATAGTGCTCTGTTCAAAAATCCACCCCGAGTTGGGTTTTAAAAACGATCGCGGTGCGTGAATTTCAGCCTAACTTGTCATTTGGTGCTGTTTAGTTCTATTGTTGCTCATTGGGACTCATTGGGGTAACTTCCACCTGAAGTAGCGTGAAGAATGAGTTTGTGTTCAGATAGTAAGAAGCAATTTCGTTCCTCCTGATTTCTTCAGAAGAAACTAGGATACGAGGAACTTGAATTTTATATCGGGAAGGGGTCGAAGAGAGGGAATAGGTGCGGATGCACCAATTGATGAAAGGAAAAGTAAGATGTGAAACGTGAACGGGGCTCGCTCCAACTGCGTTGGTCGAGTCAGGAAACCCGTTCCGAATTTGTAGGAATTTGAGGGGAGGCGTTCGAGCATAATTGTGCTGGGTCCAAACAGATTTTCGCCATATGAAGGCTTGCATCAATAATTCGGCTATAAGCACTAAGCAACCGAGACTGCATCTATGCCTAAATGTCTAAATCAATTGAAACTGAATAAAATCGTGAAGCTAGTTTTGAAACCTTGCCAACATAAAATTCAATTATGGTCAGCTTTTTTCTTGTTGAATTCGTCGCTAGAGATGCTGGGTCATCAGAAACTCCGACTAATGCATTTTCATTAATTTTCTCCCGTTATCTCCGTGATTCCATCTATGAATCGAACAAGCCAAACCGCGAAACTCGGTGATTTATAAATAAATCTTGATGCATGAGTGGAAATTCTTAATCGGTGCTGCAAATGAGGTCGTTTGGATGCGACTGGAGTTTGTGTCCATCCGATTTAATACGACTTTTATGCATTGACATGGTCTGCCCTGTCTGAGTGGTACCAAAGTTTAACTTGAATCGATTTATTAATTTTCTGTAAATGCCTCTTGCAGGAAAAACGAGGCAATATTTACCTCCTCAATTGGGAAGTTATTCCTGTCGGTGTCACCTTCTGTTCCTCTCCTTGAGTCTAATTTTCAAGGACCAAGTAAACGAGGTCATGGATATCGATTGAACTACCTTCAAGAACAAGGATGGCGACGTTCGACGTTTTTGCCTGGATCCAGCTGTAATTTTATGTTGTTTTTTTTTCAGGTATGGATCAGGAAGCAGATTGGTCGTCTGGAGATGGAGAGTGCGTGGCGGAAGGCGGGCGGTGCATGATGGATTCCAATTATTGTGCATACACCTGGCAGTCGGGGAAATGCGGTGGACCAGCGGATCGGAAATGCTGCGTGCAGGGGGGTATGTGTCTTTTTTTAATACTTTACTCTGCCTTCCTTAGAGACGACGAGGCCCCGAAAAATGTTTCTTTCATAAAATGCACGAAAACGCGAAGTGTAGGAAATACATAATGTCGCCCGAATGTTCCCCAACGACGAATAGCGAAGAATGCCTCACGCAGCCGTGAGGCGAATCGCGGAATATTTCTCCGAACTTCTCTGCTCCTTATGTGAGCCTGAAGCACGTAATACGCTCGAATTACCCAAAGCGTGGCAACTGACGGGAAGGATTTATTGTTTTGTAGGGATAGTTTGTTCTCTCGTTTGTCCAGAGCTACTGCTATCAACCTGAAATTAGCGTCAAATTATACGATAATCATCTGGGAGCCCCTCTGGTCCAGTTTTTCAACATGGAGACAATGGCTCCCACATATCTCAATTCCTGATTCGCGTGCATGAGTCTCGTAGTTCTCTTTTTAAGAATCCAAGGTAACTAATACTACAGATTCCCTTTTTGGATACTCGATGATTCTCAAACGAAGCCGATCGACTTCGCACAGTAACCGTATCTGCAAGGTTTGCGAGCGACATTTCTGTGACGAAGGTGTCAACCGGCACCCACGCGGAGGAGAAGTAGGCTATCCATTCCCGTGCGACTGAGAGACCAGAGAGAAACCTACGATCCGTGCTCGCAGATTGCCCTCGGATCGTGAGCAGGGAGGAATGGGGAGCTCGGCCACCGAACGGAGAGACCTTCATGGAAACACCCGTCTCTTTCGTCATCATCCATCACACGGAAGGACCGCATTGCTACTCGCAAGCTGATTGCATCCCCATCGTCCGGTCCATCCAGAACTATCACATGGACAGCAACGGATGGAACGACATCGGTTACAGGTAACGTTCCTGCTATCCTGTTCCTGGATCCAATTTCACCAAGAAACCTTGAACCTTGGAAGACGCGTGCATTACCGCTATCAAGGGGAAAATGCGTTTGAAGATGCTCTTCCTCTCGCTTCCGAATCTAGTCGCCATATCTGATCTTTACAAGATAATTTCGGGTCTATTCTGACATGTACGGCGACATGCTTATATAACGTAACAAGTTGACCAAATATGAATGTGACCTATGCCACGATACCTTGTGGTGTACCCAAAACGTGAACTGCACCACCGTGGAGAAAAAAAACTTACATTCCGTTAGACGCCATGTCGAATCGCTTCGAGCAGCTGTAGTCCGAGAATGAAGTTCGATAAAGCTAGTGGTGACGTTTTTTGCACGGAGGCGTAAAGTTGAGGAAAATCGCCTTGCATCCAGGTTTCTTCTATGCTAGCTTCCTGGTGGGTGAGGACGGAAACGGATACGAGGGAAGGGGCTGGGACAAAGTCGGTGCTCATACCCCGGGTTTCAACGATAGAGGAATCGCCATCTCCGTCATCGGATCCTTCATGAGTACGTTTCTTACCTCATATAAACAGGGGTGCTCGGAATGAAGTACTGCACCTGCACGTTCGGACCCATTGCTGTCATTAGGTCGGCATAATGAAAATTACAACGGTCAACTCACGGCCCCAGCCAGTAAAAGGTGGTGCAACACCTAACCAAACGTAACAAAATGGACTGCAATAACAGAGCTTTGGTTGCATCAAGGCTATCCAGAGAGACAGGTCTGCTGTATTATTTTTTGCGATCGCCCTTGTTGACGGAATAATATACAAGTAAAATCGTTAATTGTAAATTTTAATTCTACAAAGCATTTGCGAGGTCACCCTTAGAAACAGCTCTTCCAAGCTGCGAAGAACTGTTTCTGAGGAATAGCTCACCGGTGCTTAGTTTTGTAACGATATACGGGATAGTGTCCGAACTTAGACGGTTTTACATTACCAGAATCCCCAAAATAACCTATTGTATGAAGTCGGCCGTTACGACACGTGACCTCAGGAGTTGCTGTGCGAAAAGAAAATTCCCTCCCACTCTGATTTTGGCAGGTAGTTCTCATTCTGGTAAACTGACGATTTGACTCTTTGAAGTGATATTAATCTCTTGGGACCTCGTTTGCAGTTCGTGCATTGAGGTGTTAGTCAAATCGAAGGTGGGAGGCACCTTTTTAAGGTGATTCTCAGGCATACCTGTAATTGAGTTGACCGACAAGGAAGAGGCACATCGAGGGAAGGGAATGAGCAAGTAATTAGTGCAGACAGCTTTGCACTTCTATTTCGTCTTTCCCAAGCTCAGACAAAGCCCAGGTCAGAAGACATGGAGTATCTACTCTTTTAACCCTTTCGTGGGCAATGGGTAGTATGAATTCTTCCCAGAGAACACTTGACCCCCCCAGTGCCCTCGGAGGGTTTTCTCTCTCTAGATCACACTTGCATCATCCTCTGGTGAGCATGAAAGACCAATAATTCCCACCAAATATATGAAAATTTTTATGCTTGCAGAAAAAACTGGAATTTCTCAAAATAAAAATAATAAATAAGCGAGAAGAGAAAATGTACTGAATTTTATTAGCGCATGAGGAAAAATTTGCACACGAAAGGGTTAACCAGAGACAGAGGGTTGCGCCTGGGCCTCGCCAAGTCCAGATGGAGAAATCCAGACTGACCATGGAGCCTTGGCAGGCCCGGAAGATTTCCCCCTCCTGGACATTACATCTCAAGATGGAACGCCGATATCTCCCTTCCCTGCTTTTCACTCTCGATCTTCTCATTTCGTTCCCTCTCTTCTCTCCAACAATTGCATCTATCTTCGACGACGAATCCAATCTTTTAGCTTTCTCTCCTTGGATCCTGGGTACCTCCGCTGATCGAGCGCTCGGATCACTTTTCCCGTCCGATCGGTGCTCGTGCTTTGAAGCCGGCGGTCTCCGGGAACCGATTCCCATCCCCGATCGAAGATGCGACATTGGCTCACCTTTTTTCGTGATCGAAAGGGATCGACGCAGCACGGCAGGAAGTTTCTCGTTCGCGTGAACCGTATCGCCATTGCACGCACCCGTGTCAAAAAGTGATTAGAGCGTCGAGGAAGATGACAATCGCTTCGAACGCACTCTTCTTTCTCTCTCTATTCCCATCACGCGACGTTAATTTACAAAACTGGTGCACGTGGCCGGTCGATGTTTCCTTTCGATTTTGCATTCTTTGGTACGTTCCTCATGGCACCCCTTTTCTGCACTTGATTCGGTTTAAATTCCTTTTCATAGAATGGGGTAGAAACCGGTAGGTCGATGTGAACGCCAAACAGGTCGAGAAGCGAAACGGTCTTGCCAGCCCAGGAAAGCTGGATTTCGAGGAGTTTCCTTCTCCACCTGCTTATTGGTTGGTTCCCTCACCTTTCCCATATCTTCATAATTCCATGCCTATACGAATCCGTAGCGGTGTGCGAGCGAGCGTCATTGCAGGAAGACATGAGAATCATGTTGAGGGGTATGTTTTACAAGACTGAGAATCACGTTGAAAAGGTGTGATTTACTGGAATGCCAAGTTTTTTTCTGCCACGTACTAGATGAGTAAGTGCATGCACTTCTTTTAAGTTTCATCGTATTTTCTGTGCGTCTGGTACTTCATTTTGGGCAACCCTGTACGACCTAACCTTCCATAAAACGTTAGGTCGCATTAATGATTATCCCCGCGTAGTTCGAGAAAGTCATCGTTTGTTGCAAATCCATGCGAACCCACCGACTGCCCGCGCGACCTGTACTCAGTCCAGGAAACGACACGCCATCCTTTCAGGCAGAGTGCGTTCTGGACGAGCGTGCGTGGGATGTTATGCCTTTGTCGGAACTACACCCTCAGCATTTCATCTTGCTGTTCAATGCATTCGAAGTCCAGGTATATAAAAAAGATTTTGCAGTGGCCCCGAATTTAAATACAAAGAATTTGAAAAGTACTTGCTCGGAGACTAGTACTAGGGCCCGAATGCGCAAACCTCATTTAGGGGAGATAAAGGGGCCTTTAAGCTAAAGAGCTCTTTTTCTCCCATTGAAATCCATGCACTCTTAAAGGACCGGTAACTAAAGGAGATTTCAGCATTCGGACCTTCAAGTTCGCATTTGGTGCGAGTATCGTGTATCCTTCGGGCCTGAAAGTTCAAATAAAGTCGCGCTAGCAATCGGAGTAGTGATCCCATCCGATTCCCATTTCCTTTATAGATATTAGGGCAAACTATCTCGACTGAACACGTTCGGTCGCTCGATCGAAAAGGACCCTAAGCACGAGATTGAAGCCGGGAGTTGTGAAGTCACCCGGGACCATTTACGATGGTTCTGTTTTTGACGCACGAGGACAGGGATAACGTATCGTGTGTATCTGTATACAGGCAGTCTACCGAACAACGCGGCGTTGAACACCGTGCAAGGAATCATCGACTGCGGCATCTCTTTGGGTTACATCCGGTCCAATTACGAGTTGCTCGGTCATCGCCAGGCCTCTTCCACGGACTGCCCTGGGGATGCTCTATATGAGGAAATCACCACCTGGGATCACTGGACCTCCAATCCATGAAGTACTGTCGTGGAGGGGAATATCCGTTTTCTCACAATAAAGCATAAACGTTGACAGGAAAAAGCGACTTGGCTTACCGTCCGCGCAAGCTAGAAGAGAGACCTGAACCCAATCGGTGAGGTGAAAGCAAGAGCGGAGATGCTTGAAAGAAATAAGTTCTGGCGACATGAAAGAATCGCGCTTGCTTTCTTTTGTTGCCTTGTTCTCCCTCTTTCCCGACTGATCGCATCTCTTCCTGCTCTGCTTTCTCACTTTGCTCCCCATGCTCCTGCCCTTCTTCCTCGCTTCACTCCAACTGGATTCGTTCTCTTGGCTGCTCTTGCTCTTCGGATCCTCAGTGCTTTTCTTCCCTGTCCCGGTCTCACTCGCTTTGGATTTTTTTTTGCGCTTGCCGAGATCGGTACTCTTTCATCCCTTGTTGATCGTGAACTTGCTCCTCTTCTTTGTCTCGGACCTCCTAGTCTAAGAACCCCTCCTACGCTTCGATCGCTTCCTTTCTTTTCATTTCCTTCTAAGGTTTTCCGACAAGCTTAGGCAACGGAGACTTTTGTTCGCCTCATCGATAGAGAGATATCGACGCGCCAGACTTCGTAGGCACGTATCGGTGGTCTTGAAATTCGTAAGGTTCGTCCTTTGGACAGGAAAAGCATTTTTACTAAAAGGTTCCATGACTCTGAGAGCATGTGATTCGATTAAGCACCAGCTTGGTCTGACACGGAATATATCAGCCGCCGTACCTGCACGAATTAGGAACTGATTCTAAAGGAATCACGCGACGCCGTACCGAAGGTCTAGCCCGACTTGACAGTCGCACGATTGATGGATCTTTCGCAACGCGATCGCGTTCTCGAGAGGAGGTCTGGGTGAGCCCCCCACGACTTAAATGGCTTCTCTCTCGTCGTGAAACTGTTGACATCATCGATTACGTGTTACCTGTTCTGCAAGGAAGACGAGTGTAATAGTCCCGTAGTAGACCGCAGTTGATTCGGTGCACATTTCAGGGCTTCTGTTCTTGCGAGAATGTAGGCGCGCGCCGCGTCGTTCGACCTCAGCGTTGAAGTCCTGGACTGGGGAGTTTGCCATCCAGAAAAGATTCTTCCAATTCGAAAGCCACAATGTCATCCGCGCGAATGTCGGTGATCCTATGACCATTAGGGGATTTTAATTGTACTGCTGTAATAACGTAATTCTCGAACGTTTGTTCTGGTGAGCCGTCGAGCCAGATCGCCATCTACGAGGTATTATTTGTTATGCATTTCACTGAGAGGAAGCTACTTAGTCGTGATGCAGGAGACAGCCGTGAACCCAAATACACCGTGGTAGACTATTGATGGAGCTGGACGACGTGATCTTGTACTGCTTGGCATTACCCAGGAACCCATTTCTGAGTGCACGCGCTTGAGAATAAAATTCAAGAGGAAAAAGGAAATAATCGTCGAGCCTTTTAGTATCTCCAGCCGAAAGGCTGGAAATGCAAAAAAAAAGGCTATGACGATTCTCTTGAGAATCGAAGAAATTAATTTTATAAACTATTCCTCAGTACCTAATAAGTAACGATTCATGTTTATATGTAAAGGACAATATCCGTAGCTAATATTGCCTCCTGAATTCGGTGTTTTGCTTTTCAAATGGAGATGGGTCCACATTCCAAATAAAAGTTTTAGAATGCGTAGCTCTAGCGGTAAGTCGGTTCGTTACAGATATGTGACAGTCCAGTCCTTGTACCCAGTACCCCAGCGGTCGCTAGATGCCCTAGACTCCTGGTGGCAAGCAGATTAAAAACATATGGCTTCGTTTTGCGACGGACTGACGTTGTTGGTGCAATTATTTTCAACTTACCTCTAATCCAGGGTTCAGGTTCATACATATTTTACATTTTCTTTTGCGTTGAGGTATGTACGAATGTTGACTGACTAATAGCTCTCTAGCCTCGATGCAGCATGGGTTAGAAAGCTGAAAAATGATGTTTGTAGCACATTTGCTACATAAACATTTTCGGACCTACTACTAATAAGTACGAGGAATGAATTTTTTTCTCACTTTTCCCTAAGTAAAACCTGCCAGAATTTTTTCGCCGAAAAAGAAATAATGATGCATTAAAGGGTTAATGTTCGTGCCGTCAGGACCACTACCTTAGTCGAATACATAATTATACCTAATGGAAACCTTAAAGCTTAAAGAACCTGGTTCTGCCAGTCGTGAGAGGCGCTTTCCATTCCTTCCGCAATGAAAGGATGCGGAGAAAGGAACTTGTAGTTGCAGAATCATTAGAGAAGGAGAATTAGGATCATCCTATCTAATGATCCTGCTTGTGTTGATGGAAATGCGGGGCCATTAAAGGATTATTCTACCCACTGGCGTAGCCAGGATTTTCTGTATGGTAAGGTTCGGGGGTTTGTGTAAACTTTGGTGGGGGGGAATACGCTGATTTTTTTTTTTATCTTAAAGGATTTTAAAGGTTATTTTTCGTTTCCCACCATTCCTTTATATTATTTGTACAATGTGTTAATAGCTTAAAATACTCTTTAAATATATGAAAACTGCTAAACATCCAATTTATTTTAACATAAGCAATTCATGCAATGCAATTATGCTTTAAAAGTTGAATAAACTAAAAAAAAAGTATGATTGCTAATCTTTGTCTGTATATGACGAACATTCTCTAGAACAGAACCATAGTTATCGGTCACTGTCGTCCAGACACGCTTAAACATACTATTAAAGCAAGTTGAGAGTCACGGTCGGGACTACGTTTTTTAAGTCAGACACCACGAAGTGATGAAACAACGCCACGTGCCAAACCTGTCACTGCTAGCTCACACGCTGGACAAAAATTAGGGTTGCCATATTAATAGTTAATTTTCACTTCATTTAACTTGAATTATAATGTAAAATTTAAATTGTGTTAAGATTTCTAACTTAATTCTATTCCTCAGAACAGTTTTAGTGAAGGTAATATATCTGCACCGCCAAAGAGAAATATCTACTTTACAATTTTTCGCCAAAGGGGGGGGGAGTCTAACTCAGTGGCATGGCGAGGGGGGGGGCTGGAGGGGGCTTCAGCCCCCCCAAGTTTGGTTCAAGTCCCCCCAACTCTGGTCGGAATGCGTCCGCCACCCCACCCCCGACAAGGAGAAGTAAGCCCCTCCATTGGCGAAAACCTGGCTACGCCACTAGTCTAACCCCAAAACCTTCCCCCCCCCCCGCATGTACGCCACTGATTCTACCTTTCCGTCATGGTACCTTTGAGCTTGGCGTAGGACAGCGCAATCTTGCAAAACAAAGCAAAATGTTGTAGTTCACAAAATCAGCGATAGATGGCAATACCTTGGAAGACAGGATTTCGCTTTAAGCGTTCCTTGTCATGAAACTGGACTTACTCCGTTTTTCAAGCATCGTTACTTTCGTCGTCTCCGTATCACAGGAAAGTGGCCCTTTCGGTGTGTATGGTGTGATATCTCCAAGGGATGTGTTATACGGTTGGGTGCGTTTGAGGAAGCACTCCGAGAGTGAAGTTGTCACATGGTGGTAATGAGGGAGTAACGGATGTCACCGTTCTGACGCTTATCTTCGCATCGTTTGAATCTTGTATGTTCATGATGTGGATGCAAAAATGATGTCGATCCTTTTCCCGTTCTGAAAATGTCCACGTTGTAATCCTCCGTTTAAGCTGGCTCTCGTGTCAGCTGGAACGAGGCATCTTGTATCACGCCTTTCAAGCGAATTCTCAAGGGAAGCATTGTTTGTGAGGTTGTTCGCAGAGTGTTCAAACGCAACATTATGGGTAACCCTTTGATGGACAAATTATTTCTCATGTTCAATTAAAATTCAGTACATATTCTTCTACCACTTATGGTGGCTTTTATTTTGAGTAGTTTCAGTTTTCCCCCCCAAATGTAAAAGATTTTCATATTCGTGGTGGGAATTATTCCTAGTCTGTTAAGGTCAGTGGCTGATGCGAGTGTGCTATGGCGGGAGGAAGCCCTCCCAGGGCACCGAGAGGGTCAAGGGTTTTCTCGGAATAATTATTCCCTTCGTCCTCGAAAGGTTTAAAGGAGAATATTTAACGGCCATGTGAGGAGTCGGCGGAATGCTTGAAGGCCCGTCTGGTTGCAAGGTTTAATTGAAGGATACGCTTAATGAAACTGTGAAGACGAAAGGAAGCGCTGAACCAAATCTACCGATTAGTTGCTCCTGGGTAGAGATGAAAATACCGATTTACTCACTGCATTACAGCGGTGGGGAGGTTATTTTGAGTGGCTGCTGCAGGGTGCGATTCAACGGGTCTGTCATTTCTTAAGCCCCACGTCCAGGCAAAATCCGCAGCATAGATGGATGTTATTTGTTTAAGAGCCCGTGTTTTGACAGAAGTCATGGTCGTGCACGTCGCAAGAAAAATATATAGCCCATTCGCTTGATGTTTTGAGGCAATCGTTCGTTGCCTTACAGCTATGCAACTGGGGAAATTATCATGGCACTCGACCAACTCCGCAACCAGACGGCCAAGTATTCTCTTCGTTGCGCAAAATACGAGCACCGTGTATCGGCCCACGTATTGGAAGAGGAATATTGCGGGCGGTAGAGAGCACTGTCGCCTGTAATCCAAGTCGATGGGATGGCAGGGGATAGAAATGCCAAGGTGATGAGAAGGAGTCACATCTCGACAGATACGTGGGCCAATCTCTTCTCACAATGACGCGGTATCGACATAATCTCTTCACAGGTGCATTATGTGTATGAATGGCTTTGCGGTCGATAATTCCAAATGACGAAGGAGAAGTTGGAAATATGGGTTAAAAACAGCTGAATGATAATATAAAATGCCCTTTTGGTGTAAAAGCCTTCCGAGTATTCAGATCTGGTTAAAAGGATGCTTGAAACTTTTTAGTACCTGAAAGGGAGAGGAATATACGTTCTTGGAAGGGTGAGTTCTTTAGATTTCCCACCGGGCCCTTGAAAATCCTCGCCCACCTGAGAAGCAAGAAGAGCGGGTCATAAAATAGGCATTTGCAGAGTCGAGCACTAGGAGTCTTTCGGGGCTTCCTCGTTTGGGCAGAC